TTCCTCCTCTCTCCTCTTCCTCCTCTTCCTCCTCCTCTGTCCTCTTCCTCCTCCCCCCTCCTCCTCCTCTCTCCTCTTCCTCCTCTCTCTTCCTCCTCCTTCCTGCTCTTCCTCCTCCTCTCTCCTCCTCCTCTCTTCTCTTCCTCCTCTCTCTTCCTCCTCCTCTGTCCTCTTCCTCCTCTCTCCTCCTCATCCTTCCTGCTCTTCCTCCTCTCTCCTCCTCTTCCTCTCTCCTCCCCCTCCTCTCTCTTCCTCCTCCTCTCTCCTCCTCCTCCTCTCTCCTCTTCCTCCTTCCTGTCCGCTGTTTGAGCAGAAGTTCACCAGGGAGGCGCCTAAAGAAGACCTGGACGTTCTGATCCAGCCTCTGCTGGAGCACTGCAGCTCTGAGAAGATGAACACGTGGCTCGGTATCTGTCCTCTCCTCTCCACCTCAGCTCGCCCTGCGTATCTTTGTCTCACACACACACACACCTACGCACACACACGTCACGACCTTTCACAGTGAATTAAACGTGTCTCTCATCACAGTTGGGTTTGATTCCAGCTTTCACTCCGGCTTTTCACCCTGGTTTCTTCCCCAGCTCTCTGTCTCTGCTGCATTTTGTGGCTGCGCTTAAGAAAGAGAAATAGTTCTGAAATTCAAACAATGTGGGTCACAAACTGGGCCAATGCCCCGTCGCTCCCCCCTCAGAAGGAGAAGATGGAGGAGTAATTTCAGGCTGCATCAGGAAGCGGCGGGCAGTCGGAGGAGCGCTTATCTTAAACGCTTCGCCGTTTTTCTCCCATCTTTATTATATTTGCCTCTGGCCACATTTCAAATCTGTTTCTTTTTTTATTACACCTCAGAGGTTCCTAAAACAAATTTAATAGTGCTGTTTTATTATATCTTGTAAAAGTGGCCTTGATTGGTGAATTAATTGGAGAATTTTTCTCCAGGTTAAAATTTGCGGAAGCTTCAGGCTCCAGGATCCTGAACTGAAACACAAAAAATGCTCTGCAAAAATCCTGCTTAAGTTATTCTAGTCGTTTCATTTGTAAATAAATGTTAGTTTATGCTAAAGTAAAGAAATGAGTTAGTTGTGTTTCCTTAATGCAGCTGTTAGACCGGCCGTCTTTATTTCTCAGGTTTTCTCAGACTTGCTGCCTGAAGGAGATGAAATCCGTTCCTGTGGATTTACAAACACTTTTCTAACATCACTGACACTGAAGACCAGACATTTCTTCTCACATGGGATAAACATGTCTGATTATTACAACACTTTAATCAATTAGCTGTGCAAGGTTTTCCTTTAAGGTTTTTAATTTTCTTAAAAGGTTTTTATTCTCAGGTTTTGTTTCCAGGTCAGTGAACAGCATTAGCATGTAGCATCAGCTCCTGCTATTTATTTAAATTATGCTGATTAACAATAAATCTATCAATGTGGCAAACAAAAATATCAAAATGATTTTTAACACAAAATCAGTTCAGTCATTCTGACACATTCTAACATAAACTTTCCAATTTGATCCGTTATAAAACATTGAATTGCTAATAAGTGCAGCTTGTTAATGGCCACTGATTAATCAAACAGAAGTGAAGATGAAACGAACATTAATGGTTGACATTATGAATTTATCATGTATATAAGAGTAATAAACTGCTGATCGCTGATTTCCTAAGACTGAAATTAAAATGATTCAAAAATTAGAGTGTTTTATCACACAATTGTCTTGTTTTGCATTTTGAACATCCATTAAATATAATCCCTTTAAATTCCTTTATTTATCTTGGTAAAAAAAAAAAAATTAAACTATTTTTGTGCATATATAAGCATGTTAGCTTTAGCTTAGCATTTGAAATCAATTGCAGATGTTCAAATATAGTTGTAAAAAAATGAAATAAATTATTTTAAAAGTTGAATAGATAAAAGTACTTTCTTTTTTTACATGGTCTGTTTTAATGAGTTTATTTTTGCTGGATTTGGTAGAAAAACAGTAAAATCATCTTTCCAAACCTAACAAAGCCGTTCGGATGCCCGAAACCAGCTGCACTAAATCTGGTGGAAGAAATTCAGGATTAGATGCTTTAAGTTTCACCCTGCTGCCTCTCTGTGAATCAGTTCCTGCAGGAGGTGATTAATGACGCTGTGGTGGAACAGCGAAGGTCACCTTCACATGACCCTTCACAGAACACCAGGAAAAACCTGGATTTACCCCTGAAACAGTCGTTCTGATAGACTTAGTGACATATTTTAGTATTTTAATATTTTATTGAACAGTTTATTCAAACAGTTAAATGTATTCATGCAGTTTTATCAGTTCACTCAAACTTCACTATATCAGAGTGGAACAAACTGATCTGTTCAAAATAACTGAGACATATTACATTTATTCACTTCATGTTTTCCTGCTCTAACCGTTCTTTATCTTCTGCTAGGCGTGGTTTATGGCTACAAGGGTCTGCTGCTGCTCCTGGGTATTTTTCTGGCTTATGAGACGAAGTCTGTCTCCACGGAGAAGATCAATGACCATCGAGCCGTGGGGATGGCCATCTACAACGTAGCCGTGAGTCCAAACAGAAACTCCTGTCTGCTGCGCTGCTCTGCTGCAGTCTGCAGCACTTTGAGCAACAATACAGCAGCAATAAGGAGCCATTTTTACTGCTTTACAGCACAAAATGGTCATAGTTTATCTGTCAGTGGGTTCATCACCGTTCTGCAGTCCGTTCTCATGGAAGACATTTATCTTGACCTCTAGCAAAGACTTAAACAGAGCAGAGGGCAGAGTTAGCTAAAGGTAGCCTAAACTTTGCTTGTTGTTGCTGCACAAACAGGCTGAAGCTCTTGATTGGAGCCAAACAGGAAGTTGGAACAGATTCCTGCTAAGTTCACAGCGCAAACTACCGCTTTGTGCCGCAACAACACGGTTATCTCTGAAGACGTTTGTTAACAAACATCAATAAAATCCAACTTCTATTGTGCTGCGGTCTGTTGCTGCTTGTGCACACAGTGCAGCACTTCGGCTTTATTCCTCAGCATAAATAATAAGCAGGATGTGCACAGCGGGACGCAACTGGACGCACCGCGCCTTCTATAGATCTGCTCCGGCCTTTCGCAGGAAAATGCAGCAATTTGGCTTCTGAAGGAGAGCGCTAATGCAGCTAGCCGTCTGTCGTAAACATCTTTCAGGGGCGGCTGATACCAAGTGAATCACCTTAAATGGAGGCACCTAGGATGCACTTTCAGCTGAAATAGGTGCCATTATGTTCTCCATAGCCACTTTAGAGAAACACTCACTGCCATTTCCTGACACGGTTGACATGGAGCGACTTTGGAATGGATGTAAAATGTCTGAAAACAATAAGTGGTTTCTGTCACTTCTAACTCCAGAGGAGTTCAGAGCCACTTTCACACCATTCTGCTGTGTGTTGTTCAGACATGTTTCTTCTTCTGGACTGAATAATGAATTAAAGAAGCTCTATAATGAGCGCCTGTATCGGCCTAACTGTGCTGATTTGTTGATTAAAAAATAAATTTATGTTTAACTTCAAATAATTTATAAGGACAATAAAAACAGCCTGTGTGCTCGCTTCATCACTCGGCCCCACAATGAGAGACAAGTTAGAAGTGTGTGTTTAGTGTTATGATGCACACATTTCAGTTTTATGAAGTTGTCAATAGTTAATGGGGTCTGCAGGGGAGCATCTTCCTCTCCGCTCAGCTGTGAGCTTCAGGCTCTGATGGGGCGCCGCCGGCCGCCGCCTCGGTCATGACTTTTTAATGCTGTTTTCACTCGGGATTCCTCTCTGGAATGATAAACAGATGCCTGATGCTTTTATGGATGCGATTCTGTCCTTTGTTTCTAACTGGTGCAGGTGCTGTGCCTGATCACGGCGCCGGTGACGATGATCCTGTCTTCGCAGCAAGACGCCTCCTTCGCCTTCGCCTCGCTCGCCATCGTCTTCTCTGCTTACATCACTCTGGTGGTGCTCTTTGTACCGAAGGTGACTGATAGCCTGATAGCCTGAGGCAAACCGTCAGTCGCTCACAGTAGAGTAAAAATGAAGGTCAGACCTGTCAGAACAAAGTTCAGACTGAGCGGATGAAAATTCAGATTTCAGTATTTTGAGTGAAGTGCATCTTTCTCTTCATGTCTTCCTGTTTGTTAGAAATAGTATTGCAATGTCAAGGTGAAGAGGGAAATGTTACGCATTGGAAAGAAAACTAGTTTTGTGCCTAAAAAATACAACTTTAAAGACGGTACGACATAGACTTTCTGCAACAGAAGCAAGTCAAAACTACATCAAACTCAAGTTTACAGTTGTGAAACCAGGAAAACCTGCAGGAAAAACTGACTTCACAAAAACTGGTGCAGATATTTAGAAAGGAATATCCCATCAGCAGATCCATCATCAGAGGGGCCAGAGTACCAAAAAACGTCCTCAGTTAAGAGTAGCACTACTTCAACATAGTTTCACTCAGATAAATGTTTCCATGCAAATCATTATTCAGCTAAGAGTAAAGAAATATTTGGTAAAAACCCAAATAGAGTTTAATTTAGTTTATTTACTGTTTACATTTAGCTGCAGCCTTCTGACAGTGATGCACACATCACTTCACTAAAAGCATTTATAAATGAAATAAAACTAAAACATTCATTTGTTCTTCATGTATTGAAGTTACACTGAGTAGGGTTTCCAGAAATGTTACTCCAGTAAGAGTAGCAGTACTTCATAATAAAGTTACTGAAGTAGAAGTAAGAAGGAGCAAAAAGTATTTTTCCCAAAAGGTTACTCATACAAATGTAACTGAGTAAATGTAACTAGTTACTTCCCAGCTGTGTCCATCATTTCTTTGGTCGGGTTCCTGACCCTCCTGCTCTTTGCCCGGCGGTGCAGATGCGGCGCCTCATCACCCGCGGCGAGTGGCAGTCAGAGCAACAGGACACGCTGAAGACCGGATCGTCCACCAACAACAACGATGAGGAGAAGTCCAGGCAGCTGGAGCGGGAGAACCGGGAGCTGCAGAAGATCATCCAGGAGGTGAAGGAGCCAGAACCCAACCAGAACCGCTGTTAGCTAGTAACTAGCTAACAGCGGTTAGCTGTACTCTCCCATCAGAACTTCTTGTTTCTCTGTGGGTTTTCCGGTTCTGGATGAATTTACAGAACAGTGTTGGGTTTTAGGTATAACTCAGAATACTGTGATCAGGTTCTGACCCAAACGGGCTGAAAGTTACAGCGAACTGCATTATTTAAAACCTAATATTTGGGTGAACCATGGTGTGGACATCCGTCGATTAGCAGATTTACTCCACATCGTTTGGAAATTTTGTTGTTGTGCTAATGTACACAAGGTAATCGCTTGGTACAACGCTACCCGACCTACCTGACACGCCATTGGCCGGTGTTAGCAAAGCAGCCAATCCAGGAGGGCCATTAATTTTCCTTTGTGCTGATTGGTTGTTCCTCCAAACAGCAGAGATAAGCTAAACCAGGGGTGTCAAACTCAGTTTCACCGAGGGCCACTTCAGCATATTGGCCCCCCTCAACGGGCCACATTGACGGTACAGATC